CGGGCGAGGCTGGGAGCGATGACACAGCACCTGCCACCCCTCCACACGCTGCTCCTCACAGAGCCAAGCCCAGCGCTGGGCCGGGACACGCCCTGCACTGCAGGGGCCGCACACTGGCCGACTCTTGTGAAAAACACGCTCGGAGCCTCGCAGGCTGAGTCTTAAAAAGATCTGGACCTTCCACCCACGGATTCCACTCCTTAAGGATGGGTTCCGGGGAATGACTCAGTGAGCCCCACCCCCACCCTGGCCCACGGAAGAGGCAGGAGCAGGGTGAGGTGTGCCCAGCATCCTTCCGGATGTTTCCAAAGACGGCAGAGGATCTTGGGGAGACGGTGAAGTCACTGGTGGCACGTGAGCCTGCACGCGGCACTCTGCCCAGTGCTGCGCGGGTCCCACACGGCACACGTGGTGACAGGGCTGTGGGGTTATGCTTAGACCAGACCTGCCTGTGGGTACCATTAGAACAGTAGCTGCTTTGCGCCAAACCTGATCTGTTAGCAGAAGCTGGCCTGGCAGGCGGCAGTCCAGGCAACAGTGGTCCCAGGACCCCCCATCTCTGGTCCTGGGGCACCTCCCTAAGCCAGACAAACCTTTCTCGGGCTGGCTCAGCACTGAGCCCTGCCCAGCCGGAGCAGGAGACTAAGCCTTGATTCTATAAATAGTTCCCTGGCCAGTCACCATGGAAACCTCCCAGAGGGGTGGGTCAGCCCCCCTTGGGGGACACTCCTCCCCAGGGAGGCTCAGGAGGGACAAGCTTTTCAGAAAAGAGGCTCCTGGGCTCGGAGGCGGGGAGTCCCCGCGAGGTCGGGGCTCGGAAGCGGGGAGTCCCCAGGAGGTCAGGGCTCGGAAGCGGGGAGTCCCCTATGGATCGAGGCTCGGAAGCGCGGTCCTACCTGGAAATCACGAGCTTCCCACGTGGGAGGCGGTGCTGTTCGGGTTCACCTGCGGGAAGACACAGGAAGGTCACGCCAGGTTCAGCCCTCAGCATCACGGCCGGCACACACACTCACCCATCCCATATTCCCTGCACACCTACTATGTGCCAGGTGCTGGGAAACGTGAGCCTGACAGACCAGGCCTGCTCTCATGTAGCTTATGTTCTAGGGGAGGGGCTGAAGCGCACACCACAGCACGATGCTGGCCACACCCGGCACCACGTGGGCCACAGGATGACAGTGGGGCTGCTTCACCTGGAGGGAGGGGCCGATAGGGGGTGTGTGTGTGTGTGTGTGTGTGTGTGTGTGTGTGTGTCTGCGCTGTGGTGAAGAACCAGCATCTGGCCTTTGTCCTGTGCCTGGCACACAGCTCCTAAAACCCACAGCCTCTCCAAGCATCTTCTGAATGCTAATGAGATGGCTGGTGGCTGGGGGGCCCACAGAGCTTCAGGATGGGGGGCTGGTCGCCAGAAGGTCCAAGGCATGATTAGAGGGGTGGGACTCTCAGCACCACGACCTTAGTAATCACTGGCCTGTGACCCAGGCAATCATGAGCCCTCCCCAGAAATCCCAGCTTCC